TGATCCAAGAAGAATGAAGTCCTTGACAACTTCAATCTTTTCTCCATTGACAAAAATGCTGTTTATTGGTCTAGTGGTGAGGATTTTTGTTTTCTTTACATTGAGATGCAATCCATAGCCAAGGCTGTGCTCTTTGATCTTCATCAGTAAACATTCTAAGTGGGCTTCACTTTCAGCAAGCGAGGTTATATCATCTGCATATCACAGGTTGTTAATGAGTCTTCCTCCAGTCCTAACGACACGTTGTTCTTCATAGAACCTAGCTTCTTGGATTATTTGCTCAGCATAAAGGCTGAATAAATATGGTGAAAGAATACAACCCTTCGCACTCCTCTTTTAAATTTAAACCATTCAGTGTTCCCATGTTCTGTTTGAACAATTGCCTCTTGGTCCATGTACAGATTCCTCCTGAGCACAATTAAGTGTTCTGGAATACTCATACTCTGCAATGTTGTCCATAGCTTGTCATGATCCACACAATCGAAAGTCTTTGCAAAGTTAATAAAGCACATGTAAACATCTTTCTGGTATTCTCTGCTTTCACCCAAGATCTATCGGACATCAGCAATGATATCCCTTGGTCCACATCCTCTTCTGAATCTGGCTTGAACCTCTGGAAGTTCTCTGTCAATGTATGCTTGCGCTATTTCTGTATTACCTTTAGCAAAACTTTACTCGCATGGGATATCAAAGAGATTGTCCGATGATTTCCACATTCCGTTGATTCATCTCTCTTTGGAATGGACACACATATGGATCTCTTCCAATCAGTTGGCCAATAATTGTCTTCCAAACTTCTTGGCTCAGAATACTCCTTAGAAGTGGGGATTTTGAAACTTCAGTTTGTTAATGTGAACACATCATCAGGAAAGGGGAACTGCTAGAAAAAGGTATCAGGGTTGGTAGAGTGAAGAAGGTTGGTAAGGTTGGAAGCCCTGGGTGAGAGACACAGCAGCCTAAACAGTGACAAACAAACCTGACAACAACCATGAAGATGGCACAGGACTGGGCCACAGTTTGTTTTGTTGTACACGTGGTCACTATGATGGTAGCTTACAAGAGCACAACAACTTGTTAACATATTGTGATTAGAAAATATAAAAATTACGTCCTACATGTTTTATGCTTGCAGAAAAACAAAGCTAAATTCACATTTGATGTCCTTGAAATTTTTTTTTTTAGTAAATGATATATTTTCCATGGGAGAATGAACACTGATACAAATCAAAATTACTTTTCTTTTTCCAACGTCCTTTCCATCTAGCCTCTAACTTTCACTGTTTCCTTTCATCCTTAAACCCAAGACATATGTATTTACACTAAACTCACCCCCTTGAAAAAAATTATTTATATATAAAGAATGTATTTTATTTATGGACACATGAACTCTAATGCAAGTGAAAACTTTTTTTTTCCCCCATCCCCTTTCCATCAATCCTCTAACCTTCAATATCCTTCCCCTTTCAGTTATAAACATTAGGAAAAATATTTCTATTTTGAAGAATACTTTCTTAATATGTCTCAAAAGAAACTGTGCTTGAAGTGGTACAGATTAATAATAAAAAGGGAAACACTAATAGAGCTGGAAAGATATAAGAATCAAAAATCAGGGAAAATGGTAGGAACATCCAATCAACAAAATAACTTCAGAAACTGAACATTAATTAGAGTCATAATTTTCTTTAATTTAATACAGACTGCACAACATGGCTCTTAAATATTAGCTTTAACATTTACATACGCACTAAATTATAATTTCAATCCCAATCTGAACATTTATAACTCTAAAGTTTACTTTCAGAACTATTTTTGATAAAAATTAATAGCCAAGGGGCACTGATTGAATTGGGTGATCAAATGAAAAAGTATCCTAATATAAATTATCTGAGGTAGTGATCCTAAAATATGATAATCATAAACCTAGACCAAAAATCAAGCTGTTATACTTTTACAATATATTGGTGAGTATCAAAAAGTAATGAAATGAATGTGCTTGTCATCATGTGTGTCTATGTATGTATGTATACAGTATATTTTATTCTTTAATAGATTATCTAACCAAAATAGATGCTTTGGGTAGATAAAAAACTCTCCATGATATAAGGATAAAACAATGGATAGGAACTCAGGAGTCTGGGGGTAATTACTTTGCCCTCAGACACAAAATTCCACTGGTTCCAGGTCCTATCTATTTTGTTGTAATGATTTCTATGATCTATGCTCTACTTTCCATTTCCACTATGACTGCTATATCATCCCTCATTTTGAATAGATTCCTGTCATCTCTTTATCTCTAGTCTTTCCTCTAATTGATTGTATACATTTTCCTGAAACTATTGCTATAAAACAAAAGTAGGATTGTATCAATCGCTACTTAAATAAATACCTTGGATATCCTCTCACACTTCAGCAAATCCCAGACTCCTTGGCCTGACATTGATGACTTTTTATACTCTAGATCCATCCTATCCTTTTCAGAACCCCCAGACTTTTATTATTATATTTTAAACTATTATTCTACACTTATCTTTCACATCAGTTATAATTTTTCCAATTAAACTATATGAAATTTGTTTCTACTGCAGCTGTTAAGTGCTATCAAGGAGGTTCTGACATAGCAACTCTGTATAGGGTTTCCAAAGAGTGGCTGGTGGGTTTGAATTGCTAACTTTGTGGTTTCATGTTCTTTAATACTGGATTATTTTTATTTCTCTTCCGTCAATTTTGGTATTGTTAGGTGCCATTGATTTGTCATTCCGGCATAGTAAACCATGGGTCATCAGATTCAAAATGGCCAATACCAGTCCATTTCAGCTCACTAATGCCTAAGATACCGATATTTATGTGTTCCATTTTGTTTCTGACAACTTCTAATTTTCCCAGCTTCATACTTCGTACATTCCATGTTCCAATTTTCAATGGATGTTTACAGCTGTTTTTCTTCATTTTGAGTTGTGCCCCTTCAGCAAATGAAGGTCCCGTGGGCTTTTCTCCCATGGGCTTTACTCCATTTGCATCATCACAGTCAACTCTACTTGGAGGAGGCAGCCCTTCCCCAGTCGCATTTTGAGTGCCTTCTAACCTAAGGGGCTCATTTTCCGGCACTATGTCTGACAGTGTTTCTCTACTATTCATAAGGTTTTCAGTGACTAAATATTCATAAGTAGTTCGTCACTCCTTCTTCCTTGTCTGTCTTCGTCTGGAAGCTCATTTGAAACCTATCCACCATGGGTGACCCTGCTGGTATTTAAAATACAGGTGGCATAGCTTTCAAAATCACAGCAACTCACAAGTCACCACAGTATGACAAACCGACAGACGAGTGGTGGAATTTTTGTATATGTAATGTTAAATAGCTAATAATTGGCATGGCTCAGATTAGAACTTAGAGCTGTCTCCATATCTGTGCTTTTCTATTCCAAAGGAACAATGCTTCAAAATTCTCATGCTCTAGTCAAAGATATATATATAAAAAAAATACAATATGATGATCCTTGTGACGCTGCAGGAAATGTACTGGACCAAAAGGTCGGTTTGAACCACAAGGTCGGTGGTTCAAACTCACCAGCCGTTCCTCGGAAACCCTATTCAGGGTTGTTAATGACTTGGAACCATCTCAAAACGCAATTAATGAACAACAACATGATGCAGGTGGCCTTAGAGGTACATACAAACTACTGTGTAATAACAATGTCTTTGCAAATCAAAGGCTTACAGATGAGCCTTACAAATTTCCTTTGCTTAGAACACCCTTCTACCCATTGTCAGTTTAACAAATTCATACCCATCTTGTAAAGTATTGAGAATAAATGAACTATAGCTACATGCAGGGCAGTTTCTCAGTTAGGCACATGGGTAGGCCTCTCTGGCTCAAGGTCACTTGGGCCGGTCTGGCCTCTGGCCTGCTTGGGAAAAGTTATAAGCTCTTTAACTCTGCCAATTAGTATGTAGTGGCACCCCACACTGCATGCACAGTCTTGCAAATCCTATGGAGCAGTTCTACTCTGCACACACAAGGTAACCATGAGTTGAAATTCATGCAAAGGCAACTAACAACAACACTCAGAAACCTCAAACAAGCAGATCTGATAGTGTAGTACAGCAGACTAACAACTTACTAAGGAAGCTCTACGAGACCGTCGACTCATTGGTTGATCAAATGGTGGGCTGTTTATTTGCAACTTTTCAAGATATCCATCAGGTATTCTGATATCTGCAGGCAATGATAATCGCTTATTTAAATCCTAAAGAAGGAAAAATAAACTAATGTCATTTGCCTTCATGAAAATTTTCAAATGGGTACTTTATCTGCTATGTGTGTGTGTTTGTTTAAAAACCCAAGCACCACACACACACACATACACATTTCATTTTTTAAAATGGTTACCTCCATTGAGATCCGTCTATGTATACGATTTCTAAGACAAACACCTGTAGGGGACTGGACTTCATCAGATGATGTCCCAGAAGCTTGGTCACTCTCACCATCTGAACCCATTTTTAAATTTTCATGAACAATATCTGTAACAGGAAATAAAACATCTGCCTTAAAAGAAATATATGCTACTATATTACATGGGGTCCTGGTGTGGCACCATGCAGTAAGTACTAGAGTGCTAACCATAAAATCAGCAGTTCAAATCCACCAGTCACTCCTTGGAAACCCTGTACAGGGTCACTATGAGTCAGAACAAACTTGATGGCACTTAACAACAATAACATTACATAGCTTATTACCAGTACGAATTAGAGATAAAGAGCTTACATATAACAATTACAGCATAAAAGGTCTTTTACATTCTGGGTACCATAGATGTGGAGTTAATACATCAAAACATAATTCACATATCTTAAAATAGATGTAAGGAATCATTTTACACTGTCAGGTTATGAAAAATTATATTAAAAATATTAAATAATTCTGTCAAGAGTTGAATCATAAAATTATAGTCTGGAAAGTACACTTGGAATTTACTTCATCAGTTCTGTCATTTTCCAGATATGGGAAGTGAGATTTTTGAAAGGTTAAATGATTTGCATTGGTCACACAGTTTAAAGGAATAGAAACCTGGTCTTTTGTTTCTAATTTAGTTTAGTATTCTTTCCATTAAATAATGGTTCATTGTTTCTACACGATAAATCAAGCTAGTTCTTTGGATATTCTTTAAAGAAAAAACTTTTCAAAAGCTACTAATAAGAGTGTTTCACCTTTCACTGTAAAGTGTTTTTTAAAAAATTGAAAAATTACTCACTGAATATCTACTTTGTATCGGAACTATAAAACAAAGTTTCTGCAATCAAGATAAGGGAAGACTTAGGTATGTACGCATGGGCTAAATGGGATAGAGGTAATAACACTGGGAACAACAGCAACATAGGAATCAGACACAGTATGAATGGGAAAAAAGCTGAAATAATGTTAAGGGGCTTGACTGGATTGTTGTGTGGATATTGGTTTCGCCTGTCTACTACTGTAAAATAGATATTTAAGTGTGATAGAAATGAATATTGGGAATTATGATTACAGAAAGCTTGAACACCCAGTCTTCAGTTTATAACTTATTGGGTTAGCTAAAAGGAGAATTGGAATTTGCCCAGGGAAACAGGCTTCTTGTCAAGCCTCTGTGGAGTTTGGGTCTTTGGTATAATCCTAAGAAGGTTCTGGGTGGGACATTCCCCAATGAAAAAACATGCAGACCAACCTGGAATGGCTAGAAGAACAGAAAATAAACAAAAAAAAAAGATCAGCGGGGGAAAAAGCAGACTGTTTGGATGTTAGAAAACCAAGCAAACTATTTGCCTTGGAGTCAAAAAGGCAAGAAAAATCAGCCCATCAGGGTAAACCCACTTCTACTACTGAAATTCAAAGGAACACACAAGCAGTGCATGCTCGCTGGTGACAGTCCTGGTTTACTTGTGAGTGGAAGTGGGAGAAATGCAGCAATGAAGACACAGGCTGAATTTGACCATGTTCCATTAACACCCGTTGACCTTAAGATGAGAGAGAGACAAGGGCTGACTGGTCTAAAATTTAGGGAAATGTATGAACTCTTGAGCTAGCCTGACCTAGCCACTAGGGGACTAGAGCTGAGAGTGAAGCAGCCAGCTGGTCTGAAGTGGGAGGAGGCATGCGAGAACTCCCAAGTTTGCAGTTAGTACCCATTTGACATAGCTTGGATGGCTGACCAGAATTTAATAAGATGAAGATACAGATACAGGGAGTGAGCGTAAATTGCTACAATTTGATGAACTAGACCTTTGCTTATGGATGCAGTTGCTCAAAATTCCAACTGAAATGGAAGGATTCTTCATATTAAGGATCAAAAGCTTGCCTCCTCAGTACACTGGGGGTTTATATGGACAGGCAACTTAGACATTGGCTATCAAAATGAGTAGCTGGGGTGGTGCTGTGGGTTAATGCACTAGACTACAAAGTCAGTTTGAACCACAGCTTACCAGCCACTCCTCAGAAACCCTATATAGGGTCGCTATGGGTCAAAATTGACTATACGGCACTTAACAACAACAACAAAATGCACGAAATCGCTGGCTTACAAGCTTTCATGAGTGTACTTAGTATCAGAATTGCGGGGGGGGGGCGGGGTAGGGGAGTAAGGTAGATTGAATAGTTTCCCTATTGAATAGTTTTCCTCTTTTCCAGATGGATCAGGTGAAAAGTGATGGGGGGATGATTCAACTGTGAGTAACTGTTACCTGGACTAATTGCAAGTGTCACACTGTAAATATAGAAGATATGTAACTAAAAGTGGGGAGTAGTTAACCTTTCATTTCAGGAACAGACCACTCTAGGACCACTGAGAAGGAAGAACACGAACGGCGCATGAGTTTCTAACCAGAAAAGCGCCAACAGCAGAGACAGTGGCAGAGGCGATGGCACAGAGAGACAGAGCAGCTTAAGATTCTAGGCCCATGGACTGGGAAAGATTGTGTGCCTATGGGAAGGAGGATGGCATGTAAAATGTGCCCTTTGGACAGTTAAATGAATACATACTTTTAGGTTTGTATGTAAACATAAAAAAAATAAAAGGGAATAGAGACAAATACTGCTGACTGACAGTACATGGAGGGGATTATAATCATTGCAATGAAACGATGATCTGTTGACTATAAAACTGATCATCTGCCCTATAAACCTTGACTTAATTCACAGCAAAAACTTTTTTAAAAAGTTTCTGACCTCTAAAAAGCTCAAAAATCTGTTGAGGGCAAAAACACATTCAAATAAAAATACATGATGGGTTATAGCAAATGTTTTAATATAGAGTTAAATGTAGGACAAGCAAGAGAGATCCACTCCATTTGAGAATTTTAAAAACAAACTTATATTCTTGTATACCTGCTTACATTCGCATTTGTCAATCATCCTCTAAATCATCTAGCAAGAACAGTATACCAGAAAAAAATGCTAGCGCTCACATGCAATTCATATAACTTATATGTTACACAGTTATTCATTCCTCAGAAAGCATCATGTTGCTTCACATCATTTATTGTCTTGGTAACACAAGATTGAGAAATTCCCTATTCACAGTGACATTGTTGTTGTTGTTGTTAAGTGCCACAGAGTCGGTTCCGACTCTTAGTGACCCCGATACAGTTTCCCAGGAGCAGCTGCTGGGTTTGAATTGCCAACAATGAGGTTCACAGTCCAGTGCTAATTCTACAGCGCCATTCAGATGGTAGTGGTTTTCAACAACAAAGATACAGTGCAATTAAGCAGAGATGATTGAACAAAATTTATGCTGAGATCTGACAAAAATTAACTTAGTCACAAAAGTCAATGATTTTTGCCTAACTTTTTGAATGATTCCTAAAATTTAGTACCAGGCACATCTGAGGCCACATATTCTTTTTTTTCTCTCCTCCACATTCTTTTTTTGTGTGTCACACTTTAAAAACACAAAAGATAATGTAACTATGCAATCACTTCTTAGTAAAATCTGAAAATCTTCCTTCCTCAAGGAAATGTTGTGGAAAATATAGTACTTTCAAATGCATAGCTGAGTTTGCAAGAAAAGTGTGGATAATTCCTAGGAAGTAGAAAACAAAGAGAACCGAAAGCCCAAAGTTGTTATGCTTAAATTGTCTCTGCCACTTTCTTGGGAGGATTTGCTGATCTTGGTAAGAAGGTGCTGAGGTTTAGTTGCCACATTGGATAAGAAAGTAAAGCCCTGCACATCCAAGTTGAAAATGAGACCCTCCCATGTAAAGACACATCTCTCAAAGTGCTTGCTACACCTTTAGCATTGCTGTTGTTGTTAAGCACCATCAAGTCAGTTCCGACTAATAGCGACCTTGCATAGGGTTTCTAAGGCTTTAAATGTTCACAGGAGCAGAAAACCTTGTTTTTCTCCCATGGAGTGGCTGGCAGACTTGAACCATGGACCTTGTGGTTCGCAGTCCAGTGCTTATCATATAGAGCCACTTTGCTGCCACAACTACAACATAAAGCAGACTTAAAAAATAAACAAACAAAAAAAACCAGTTTGTCCTACTGCACAAAGACTACAAAAAAAGGAAGGTTATTGAGACTATGAATAAGATACTAGAGTACTATCTGATTCAACCAAGAAATAGTAATATCATTAACTAACAAGTATAGTTCTAAAGTGACTGCTAATTGGTATTTTCATTTCAGTTAACAAGTAAAACAACCAATGCTTATGTCAGAACTTCACTTGTTTGTCAGTGGTATGAGCAACTTCTTTGCTGAATCAGGTAACAGTTTTTGTGTAGTGTTATTGTTGTTAAGTGCTACCAAGTAGGTTCCAACTTACAGTGATCCTGTATAGTTTCTAAGGCTATAAATCTTTATCGGAACCATAAGTCTTTCTGCTACTTTCTCAACTTTGCTTTTTATCACATTTTATCAGACAATAAAGCTGGCTGACGTCCATACAACCAAAATCTAAATAAACACATGAATTATAGTCAGAAAATTAATAACAAGATAACCAAATTACCTAATCTGCTTCCATTTCTGGGCATTGCCATGAAGGAGCCAAGGCTTCCTCCAATAACACTGTGTGGTCTCCGCAGTGGGGCCTTCTTGAAAGACCCTGTGTACTGGTGGAGGAAGGAATGCATACTGTGAGAAGTTGGAGGTCTGCCATTCTTCACAATGGGCTCTGTGGTTCACAGTTTCCAAAAATCATTCCATTAACAGCCCAAGATCCAGGATCACATGAAGGTTGAGAAAGCAAACAGAAAGCAAAGCAAAATGTGTTAAGAGAAGTTTTTATATTTAATTTTATTTCTTCAACTATCTTTGCCAAATACTAGATTAAAAATTATTTCTATAGTTACAGAAAGTAAATATACAGTTTTTATATTTGAGGATAGTTTAATAAATTATACATTTCTTATATAATCAATATTGGTTAATATAACAAAACCCATTGATAGTTAATCCATCTGTTCATTTATCTTCAAGATTGTTTCCTACATTTATTGACTGCCATATATTTATTTACCTGTCTCCATGATGTGACATGCTGAATACTAGAAAAGGCATGGTGTTAGCCTGAAGGAGTTTATTACTTGCTAGACATTTAAAAAGGAATGCCAATTAGTGAATAAAACAAAACCACTTCAGCACAGATCAAAATCATTGGTGCTAGCTGGTCTCAAGTTGGCTCTGATTTATAGTCACCATGTTGTACAATCAAATGAAAAATTGCCCAGTCCTGCACCATCTTCACAATTTTTACGTTTGAGCCCATTGTTGTAGGCACTGTGTCAATCTATCTTGTGGTCTTCCTCTTTTTCTCTGACGCTCCAAATTTATCAAATATGATGTCCTTTTATAGGGATTGATCCCTTTTAATTACATGCCCCCAAATACTAAAGACAAAGCCTCACCATGCTTGCTTCCAAGGAGCAGGCTGGCTGCCCTTTCAAGACAGATTTAGTCAATCTTCTGGCAGTCCATGGTACGTTAAATATTCGTCACCAATGCTATAATTCAAATGTAGCAATTCTTCCACGGCCTTCCTTATTCACTGTCCAACTTTCACATGCATATGAAGCTACTGCAAATACCATGGCTTGAGTCAGGCATACCCCAGTCCTCAAACTGGTATCTTTGCTCTTGAACACTTGAAAGAAGTCTTTTGCAGTATATGTGCCTAATGCAATGCATCTTTTGATTTCTTGACTGCTGCTTCTATGGACACTGATTATGGACCCAATTAAAATGAAATAATTAACAACTTCAATCTTTTCTCTGTTTATCATGATGCTGTTCATTGATCCAGTTGTGAGGGGTTTTGTTTTCTTTATATTGAATTGTAATCCATACTGAAGGCTGTATTCTTTTATCTTCAGCAAGTACTTCAAATCCTTTTTACTTTTAACAAAAAGGTGTCATATGCGTATCACAAGTTGTTAAAGGACTCTTCCTGCAATCCTGATGTGATGATGATCTTTCTATAATCCAGCTTTTCTGATTATTTACTCAAACATACAAATCGAATAAGTATGGTGGAAAGATACAACCCTGATGAACATGTTCCTGATTCTACATCTCACAATATCCCCTAGTTCTGTTCAAATGACTGCATGCCTTTGCACAGTCAATAAAACACAAATAAACATCTATTTGGTACTCTTCCAGGCAGTTGGTCAAGTAACTATCTCAACTTTTATGGCACAGACCAGGGGTGGGAAATTTTTTTCTGTCAAAATTTGTAACATCATTCAAGAACCATACAAAATTATCCATTTAAAAATTACCCTGCTATATTTGGTCAAATATAATTAACTCATCCCTAATGGTAGGCAGCTCAAATCACCAGCTGCTCCTTGGAAACCCTATACAGGGTCGCTATGAGTCAGAACTGACTCAACGGCATGTAACAATGTAATGGCTGGAACTGTTGATGCCTTGGCAGGGCTAAATCAAATAATGAGGCTGTGGGCCAGTTGTTCCCTACCCCTGGCATAGACTATTTATTAAGTGCTTCTAGTGCTCTATAAGGAGTCCTGGTTGGCAAAGTGGGCTAACACGTCAGACTGCAAAGTCATTTGAACTGCAAGGTCGGTGGTTCAAGCTCACCAGCTTTTCCTTGGAAACCTTATACAGGGTCGCTATGGGCCGAAATCAACTGATGGCATTTAACAACAACAACAAAGTGCTCTATCGGGAGCTCTCGTAGCGTAGTGGCTACAAGTCGGGTTGCTAACCTCAAGGTCAGCAGTTGGAAACTACCAGAAGTTCCGTGGGAGAAAGATGAGGCTTTCTGCTCCCTGTAAAGATTTACAGCCTCAAAAACCCTATGCAGAGTCGCTATGATTCGGAACCGACTCCATAGCAAATACCACCACCATACTGCTGTATCAGTTTGTAGAAACATTTCAGTTGGTATTCCACCAATTCCTGGAGCTCTGTGTTTGCTAATGACTTCAGTATTCCCTTGCTTTGTTAGGATGATTGCCTCTTGAACCACAGAGGTCTGCATGAGCAAAATTAAGTGTTCTGGAATTCTCATCCATTTGCAGTATTATCCAGAATTTGTTATGATCCACACAAGTAAACATCTTTCTGGCATTTTCTGCTTTCAGCAAAAATCCATCTGACATCAGTAATGGTAAATTCCATTCCAAGTCCTTTTCTGAAACTGGCATGAACTGCTGCCACTTACCCATCGATGTATGAATGTAGTCGTTTACCAAATTACCTTCAATGAAAATTTGCTAGCCAAAAAGCTGTTTTCCAAATTTCTCGACACAGGTAAGTACTTATAGCTTTACATCCATCTGTTGAATCATCTTAATTGGTATTCTGTCAATTCCTGGAGCCTGTTCTTTTTGTCAAAGTCTTTAGTACAACTTGATTATATGATGCTTCCTGAAATAGGTGAATTCAACCAATTCTTTTTGGTGCTGTGGTTCTGTGTATTCTTTTTATTTTGATGCTTCTTACATGGAGTTCTCGTGTGGCACTGTGGGTTAATGCGCTGACTGCAAAGTCACGCTGAACCACGTGGTTGGTGGTTCAAGCTCATAAACTGCTCCTTTGAAACCTTAAACATGGTCACTCTGGGTCAGAACCGACTCAACAGTACATAACAACAACAACACCATTCAAACTTTTTGTTCATAGAATACTTTAGTAATTGCAACTCACGGCTCTAGTTTATTTTTTAGCTCTTTTAAGCTTAAGAAAACTTGTTCTTCTCTTTTGGTTTTCTAACTTAATGTGTCTGCACATTTTATCATAATACTTCACCTTGTCTTCTTGAGTCATCTTTTGAAAATCTTCTATTCAGTAACCTTCATCGTTTCTTCCATTTACTTTAGCTATCCTGTACATTTAAGAACAAGTTTCAGAATCTCCTCTGACATCTATTTCTGTCTTTTTCTTCCTTATTTTTCCAATGATCTATCTTTAAATGCTTCATACAACTCTTATGCTCTCTGGTCATTAGTTTACAGTGTGTCAACTCTACTCTTGAAGATAGTCTCTTAACTTTAGGTGGGATATACTCAAAGTTGCACTTTGGTTCTTATGAACTTGCTTTGATTTTCTTCATCTTCAACTAAACTTGGTTGTTCCAGTCAGACCTTGGCTCTGTCTTGACTGATGATATTGAGTTTTTCCATTGTCTCTTTTCAAGTACATAGTTAATATGAATAGTTGTATTATAAATAGTTACAAACACTTAATTGTGCTAATGAAGAATGTATACATATACCAAGAGGCAGTTGTTCAAACAGAACAAGGGAAGACCGAATGGTTTAAAAATTAAGAAAGGTATGCACCAAGGTTGGAGGAAGTCTCATTAACAACCTGCGATATGCAGATGATACACCATTGTTTGATGAAAGTGAAGAGGACTTAAACTACTTATAGATGAAGATCACAGACCACAGCCTTTGGTATGGGTTGTAACTCAATATTTAAAAAAAAAAATCCCCACCACTGGACCAGTAAACAACATCATAATAAATGGAGAAAAGATTGAAGTTGTCAGAGACTTCATTTTGCTTGGATCAACCATGAACACTAATGGAAGCAGCAGTCAAGAAGTCAGACAATGCATTTCATTAGGTAACTCTGCTGTACAACACCTCTTTAAAGTGTTGAAGAGCAAAGATGTTAATTTGAGGACTAAGGTGCAACTAACCCAAGCTGTGGTATCTTCAATAACCTCATATGCATGTGACAGTTAGACAATAAATAAAGATGACCATAGAAGAATTGATACATTTTAGTTATGGTGCTTGAGGAAAATATTAAAAGTATCACTGACTGCCAAAAGCACAAACAAATCAGTGTTGGAAGCCATACAACCGAAACGCTCCTTACAAGTGAGGGTGGCCAGAATACATCTCTCATACTTCAGATATATTATCAGGAGGGACCAGTCCCTGGAGAAGGACATTGTACTTGGTAAAATAGAAGGTCAGTGTAAAAGAGGAAGACCCCCAACGAGATAACGATATGGATTGGCACAGTGGTAGCAACAGTGGGCTCAAGCACAGCAACGATTGTGAGGTTGATGAAGGACTGGACAGTGTTTCATTCTGTTGTGCATAAGATCACTAGGAGTTGGTACCAACTTGACAGCACCTAAACAACAACAACAGAAACACAACGGGATAACACTGCATATAATAACATTTGATTGATTACCTATTTCAAGTCTTTTGTGTATACTTCTAGGAGTGGGATTACTAGGTCATATGACTCTTTCATTCTGCTGTGCACAGGGTCGCTATGAGTCGGTACCGACTCCATGATACCTAACAACAACAACAAATGATAATTCTATATTTAACTTTCTAAAGAACCAAATCAATACAAAGCCCACTGCTGTCAAGTCAATTTCAACTCATAGTGATCCTATACAACAGAGTAGAATGGCTCCACCAGGTTCCCAAGAATGTCATCTTTATAGAAGTAGACTGTTAAATTTTTCTCATGTAGAGTGTTTGGTGAGTTTAAACCACTGACACCAGATTTTAGCCAAGCACTTAACCACCAGGTTTCCCTTTACTGAGGAAATTAGATGGGTTCATTTTTGAAGTTCTAAAAAATTACTCAATACTTTCCCAGTTACAAAATAGAAACTTGATGTACTGAGAATTCTTTTTCCTTACAGGTACTGTAAAAAAATACATATTTCTCAAACTTCAGTTTGCAAAATGTTTTACTACTATGTATATTATTTGTTGTTGTTGTGATATGCCGTGGAGTCAGTTCCAACTCACAGCGACCCTATACAGGGTTTCCGAGGCTGTAAATCTTTATGGGAGCAGAAAGCCTCATCTTTCTCCTGCGGAACAGCTGGTAGTTTCAAACTGCTGACCATGAGATTAGCAGCCCAATTCATAACCACTACACTACAAGAGCTATTATTTAGATACAACTGTATTGACTGCAAAGCTGTTTGAACTGCAAGGTCAGCAGTTCAAGCTCACCAGCTGCTCCTCAGAAACCCTATACAGGGTCGCTATGGATCAGAACCGACTCGACGGCATTTAACAACAACAACGTATTGAATTAAGGCCAGCATACTTAAATCACCCAAGTTTTCAAACATCCAAACTATTTTTAACATGTTATTTTTGTTTGTTGTTAGGTGCCAATGAATTAGTTCCAACACACATCAATCCTTTGCACAACAGAACAAAACACTGCCTGTTCATGGACCATCTTTATTTACAATTACTGTTATGTTTAAGCCCATTTATGCTGCCGTATTGCCAATCTATCTCATTGAGGGTCTTCCTCTTTTCTGGTGACCCTCCACTTACCAAGCATAATGTCATTCTGCAGGGTTGGTCCTTTCTGACAGCAAGGACAAAGTACAAAGCCTCATCAGTCTCAATCTAAGAAGCATTCTGGCTATATTTCTCCAACACAGATTTGTTTCTTCTTCTAGTAGTCCATGGTACTTCCAGTATTTTTTCTAAACAATATAATTCATATATATTGATTCTAATCAGGTCATCCTTATTCATTGTCCAACTTTCATAAGCTTATGAGGCAACTGAAAACACCATGAGTTGGGTCAGGCCCACCTTAGCCCTCAAAGTGGGATCTTTGTTCTTTAACACTTTAAAGAGGTCTTTTGCAATAGATTTGCCTAATGCAATGTATCCTTTGATTTCCTGGCTGCTGCTTCAGTAAGTGTTAATAGTGGATGTAAGAAAAATGAAGTTTTTGACAACTTCAATCTTTTCCCCATTTATTATGATATTGTTTACTGATCCACTTGTGAGAATTTTTGTTATTTTTACATTGAGGTACAATCCATACAGAAGACTGTAATCTCTGTTCTTCATCTGTAGGTATTTTAAGCTCTCTTTGCTCCCAGCAAGCAATGTTTTATCTTCCTCCATTCCCGACACCCCATTCTTCTTCATATAATCCAACTTCTTGGATTATTTCCTCAGCATACAGAATGAATAAATATGGTGAAAGAATATAACCCTAGCACACTTGTCCTGATTTTAAACCACTCTCAGTGTCCCCTTGTTTTGTTCAAACAACTGCCTTTTGGTCTACATACAGGTTTCACAAGTTCACAATGAAATGTTCCAGAGTACTTCACAATGTTGTCAGAAGCTTATCATGATCCACACAGTCGAAACCTTTGCATAGTCAATAAAGCACAAGTAGACATCTTTCAGGTATTTTCTGCTTTCAGCCTAGATTCATCTGACATCAATAAATCACATGCCTAGTTTCAAGTCCTCTTCTGAATCCAATTCAAATTTTTGGCAGTTCCCTGTAGATGTACTGTTGCAGCCATTTTTAAATAATTTCCAGAAAAATTTTACTTTGATGTAATATTAACTATACTGTTCAATGATTTTCACATTCCATTGGGTCATCTCTCTTGGGAATGGGCACAAATATGGATCTCTTCCAACAGGTTGGTCAGGTAGCTGCCTTCCAAATTTCTCGAATAAGATAAATGAGAGTCTCCAGCACAGCATCAGTTTGTTGAAGGATTTCAGTTTGTATTATAACCATTACCAAAGCCTTGTTTTTTGCTAATTCCCCCAAATGCAGCTTGGATTTCTTCTTTCAGTACAATTGGTTCTTGATTATATGCTAACTGGTGAAATGCATAGTATTGAAAAAGCGTTTCTTTTGGTACAGTAACTCTGTGTTTTCCTTCCAAATGGCTAATAAGTAACATAAAAAAGATGTTCAATGTTACTAGTCATTTGGAAAAGGCAAATCAAAATCATAATGGCACACACCCTTCATCCCACTATAGCTTTTATCTGAAAATAGTTATTATCAGAAAAAATTAAATATAATAAGTATTAGTGTGCATGTGAGAAACTAAAACCCTCATCTACTGCTGGTGGGACTATAAAATGATGTTAAATGGTGCCGCCACTGCAGAAAATTGGTGGTTCCTCTAAAAGTTAAACATAGAATTATCAATGTTGTTTTTTGTTAGATGCCATGGAGTTAATTCCAACTCACAATGACTTAAGCAATTCCACTCCTCAGTATACACACAAAAGAACTGAAAACAAGGAATAGAACATTTGAGTGCACCCAAAAACCCAAGTGCTCATCAACACATGAATTGATAAACAAAATATATCATATACATACAATAATTCAGTCACCTGTTTAGATAATCATTATGCATATAGAACTTTATAGAAATGAAGCCACAAACAGGCAATTTCCAAACTTCCTATATGCTTTTCAGCAATTTAAACTAGGTTATAAGAATAACAAAAATATTTAAATGATAATGCAAGGTCAGTGGTTCAAACTCACCCACTCCAAGGCACTTAACAACAACAATTGGTAATTGTTCTTGTTATTAGGTGCCATCAAGTTGTAACTGGCATATAGGGACCCTATGCACAACAGAACAAAAAACTGCTCAGTTCTGCGCCAACCTTACAATTGTTGCCACGCTTCAGCCCATTGATGCTGCCACCTCATCAATCCATCTCGCTGGGTGTCTTCCTCCACCTTATCAAACATGATATCCTTCTCCAGGGACTGGTCCCTCCTGACAATATGTCCGAAGTATGGGAGACGAAGTTTGTCCATCCTGGCCTCCAAGGAGCACTCTGGCTACACTACTTCCAACGCAGATCTGTTGGTTCTTTTGGCAGCCCATGACACTTTCAATATTCTCCTTCAACACCATAACTCAAAAGCATCAATTCTTCTACAGTCTTCCTATTCAAAGTCCAACTTCAGCATGCATATGAGGTTACTGAAAATACCATGGCTTGGATCAGGCACACCATAGTCCTCAAATTTACATCTTTGCTCTTCAACACTTAAAACAAGGTCTTGTGCAGCAGATTTGCCTAATGCAATGCGTCGTCTGACCTCTTGACTGCTGCTTCCATGAGTGTTGAAGGTTGATCCAAGAAAAATGAAGTCTTTGACATCTTCAATCTTTTCTCCAGTGATAAGAATGTTGTTTATTGGTCCAGTGGTGAGGATTTTTGTTTTCTTTACATTGAGATGCAACCCATACCAAAAGATGTGGTCTTTGATCTTCATCAGTAAATGTTTTAAGTCCTCTTCACTTTCAGCAAGCAAGGTTGTATCATGTGCATATCACAGGTTGTTAATGAGTCTCCCTCCAATCCTGATTTCACGTTTTTTCTTCATTTAACACAGCTTTTTGGATTATTTGCTCAGCATACAGGTTGAATAACTATGGTGAAAAAATACAAACTTGTCGCACACCTATCCTAATTTTAAACCAACAATGGAATAGAAGAAAATTCATCAGGGTTAGAAACTAAGAGCTGTAACACTGTTAAAATAAGAATTAAAAAAAAATTTTCCTAAGAAATCAGGGAATGAAAAAGATAAATTAATATATGCAAGTTACTATGAACTTACTTGAAAAGCAAATTTATATTCTATTTATAAAGCAAGTAAAAGGCAAAGCATTTCCCCTCTCCAAACATTTACCATTATCCTTGCTGCTGTTTTCTTCAATCGTCATTTGTTCAGCCAACTCGGACAATGATTCATCAATAGTCTGGCTTCCTCGAAGTGTGAGGGAGAGCCTTCTCTTAAATTTTTTCATCCTATCAATTTAATGTGCCTTGAAAATTCCTGAAAGAACAGAATGAACAAAAAATTAAGGCCGTGAGTATTGTACTGCTCAAGAAACATGTCACTCCTAGGTTTTACCGAACCTTTGTAAAGAGATCTAATGAAGAATTCTAACTTCTGTCAAGCATCACAAAAATCCAAACCATTCTTTTAAAAAATATCTACACTGTTATTAATTACACACTTGTTGGACATCATTACAAGAGCAGGAATTCCACATAACTAAAGATGGTGACTTTAAGCTATACAACTTGATTTAGAAGAGTTTGGAAATTTTCTTAAAATGTGCATTTTTAACACCAATACTGAAAACATGTCAACGGTATCTTCATGATTTCATCACTAAAAATGCCAATCATCAAACTGGAAGCAGTCAAAAATACCATAAGATAAAAGTGAAGAGGGGTGGAGAAAGAACGGTAACTTATTTTATTAAACAACTTCAACAAATAGCTCTGAAAAAGTAGTTTTTAAATCTTTTATAAAGCTGATATATTAGTCTGTTCCCCTTAGCAGGCTATTAGTAGTCTCTTCCTGTAACAATACTAAGTTTTAGTTAGAAGAAAGGAAAGCCAAACCAACAGCTATCATAACGTCTACTCCACATTAGACTTTTTAGATCTATTAATGTATTCATTTTAGATCTATTAATGCATTCAGAGTCATTCTGACTCTAAAGGACAAATTATAATAAATAAAACAAAACATAAATGATAAAACTGAAATTAAAAAAAAATTAACTATGGTTGCTGTCAGCTGCCAATGAGTCAACAACAAATAGGGTGAACCATGCATAATAGGATCAAACTGTTAGGATTCCTATGGTTTTCATTTTTAGAAGCTGTTCTCCAGGCCTTTCTTCCTAATTTTAGTCTGGAAGCAATGCTGAAATCTGTTCAGCACTGCAGCAATATGTAAGCCTCTACTGAGACAAGTGGTGGCTGCACTTGAGACCCAATTGCTGTAAATTGAAACTGAGTCTTCTGCAAGGAAGGCAAGAATTCTACCACTGGATTTATTTACCATTTCCCAACATTTTAACATCTCTGAAATCAGGATGCATTTCACAATTAATGGAATATAGCTGGTAGGTCTTTCCTTTCTTGTTGTTGTTATGTGCCATGGAGTCGGTTCTGACTCATAGTGACCCTGGTACAGGGTTTCCGAGACTGTAAATCTTTACACGAGCAGAAAGCCTCATCTTTCTCCCACGGAAAAGATGGTAGTTTCGAACTGCTAACTGTGAAATTAGCAGCTCGATTCGTAACCACTACGCTACCAAAGCTCCTAGTGGTACACAAAACAATGGTACAACTCATAGGGACATCTTAGATTTGATGAAACAAAATACTTGCTACCAAAACCAATTCTATCAAAATTTACCTATAGCTTCCTTTCTATCTTGCTATTTATGATTGTTGCAGACTGCGTAAACCTGGATAGCACTTGAAACATGCCTAAGGTTATAATCCCATTTGGGAATGGGTTGTCTTTGTTTGGTTAACGATCAGTGAAGGACATATTTTGAATGAATCTTTTTTGAGATATAAAGGAGATTAAACAAACAAGCAAGAGCAGCAGACATGGCTAAGATAGATGCCAAGATACATGGAGATCTCCAAGTAACCAGGAAGCAAAAGCTGAAGAGACAAAGGTCTTCCTCTTGAGGAAAGCCTTCCCTTAGAGCCAGCACTCTGAATTCAGACTTCTGGCTTCCTAAACTGTGAAAAAATAAATTTATTTGTTACAGTCATACCATGTAGTATTTCTGGTATAGCAGCATTGGATAACTAAGACAATGGCTTTTGTTTTGCTATCCGATACATGATAGTTTGAAAGTATTAAATAGTTACCAATAAAAATTTATGGAGTACCTTAACTGGATTAAGGACAGTTTATATATACATACATATATATACATACATATACACACACACACATATGTTGTTGTCAAGTGCCATCAAGTTGGTTCCGGCCCATGGTGACCCTGTGACCCTGTATAGGGTTTCTAAGGAGTGACTAGTGGGTTTAAACTGCCCACCTTTCGGTTCAAGCCGACCTTGCAATACAGCACATGATCCTGCACCTCTCTCGCGCGCTCGCTCTCTCTTTCTCTCTCTCTCTCTATATATATATCTATACCTATATATCTATATATCTATATCTATATCTATAGTGAACATTGTTTTTCTCCTGTTTATAAAAATATTACAAAAGGTTTACAAAGGTCAAAGAATATAGAAAATATAAGAAAGCAATACCATCACCAATAGTTTGGTAAACAGATCATTCTCTGTGCAAGTGATGTTCATTAAATTACCTCTGGAATTTGGGTGAAACAAAAGATACTAAAATATGTAATTCATAAAAGAGTACCATGGTCACATAAATATTTAAAATCTAAATTTAAATAAAAACTGTAAAATGTTACACAGACTTAATAATGAGTAGTATGGAGTCCTGGTATGGTTCTGTGGGTTAATGCACTGGACTGCAAGGTAGATTTGAACAGCAAGGTTGGCTTACCAGTCACTCCTCAGAAACTCACACAGGGTCACTGAGTTGGAACCAACTCAATGGCACTTAACAACAACAATATGGTGTTCTAACTGCATCTGTCCACAAACTATCATTACTACTTAAAATAAAACCTAAATGCTCCATTAAACATATATAATTTCACATAAATTGACTCCAGCAATATATGCTGTTTCATAGGCTGTTTTCCCATCAAATATTAAATTCTAATTTTTCACCTTAAACTATATCATAGAGATGCATTTAAGTAAATTAATATAATTATACATCATTCTCTTAAAAGGATTTTCAATATTCCACTATATGACTCTGGTAGCGTAGTTGTTATGAATTGAGCTGTGAACCTTAATGTCAGCAGTTCAAAATTACCAGTTGCTCTGCAGGAGAAAGATGAGGTGTTCTGCTCCCATAAAGACTTACAGCCTCAGAAACCTGTACAGGGTTCGCTATAAGACGGAACCGACTCCACGGCACATAACAACAACAACAACAACATGGCTGTACGGAATCCTAGTGTGGCACAGTAAGATAAGTACTGGACAACAAGGTCAGTTTGAACCACAAGGTCAGTGGTTCAAACTCATCAGGTGCTCCTAGGAAACCATACACAGGGTAACTGTGAGTCGGAACCAACTAAATGGCATTTAACAACTATAGCATGCAACTGTACGTATGCTTTATGCTCTCTGTTTTATCAAATAGAATACTAAAATCATTTACTCAAGGGTTGAGATTTCATTTAAAAAATTAATTTTACAACTTCATCAAGAACATTCTTAAGTAAAACTGCTTCTGGTTTGTTTCCCTGCATTTACAGAAATTCTTCGGTTCACTAATTAGTACAATTTGGTGCCACTGCCATGATTTGAAATAAGGAGACATTTACACATCACTGCATATGCACCATCACAGCACCTGTTAACACACTTATAAAAGGGAGTTGTTGTTGATAAGGGCTGTCGAGTCAGTTCCAACTCATAGCGATCCTTTATAGGATTTCCAAGGAGTGGCTGGTGGATTTGAACTGCCGACCTTGTGGTTCACAATAGCATTGCAGTCAAGTGCTTATCCTACAGTGCCACCTCAAGACTCCAAAAAGGAGGGATGGGAGGAGGGCAAATAGTATTTAGTATTACAAAATTAAGGTTTGACCTTGAGGACCCTCTGAAAGCCCCCAGGTGTCACAAATGGTTAAATACTCCACTCCTCGTCAAAAGACTAGCAGTTTGAACCCACAGTGAGGCACCTCAAAAGCCAAGGCTAATGAGCCTTGAAAACTCTATGGTGCAGTTCTACTCTGTGTACATGGGGTCTCCATGAATCGGAATCAACTCAATGACAACCAACAACAACAATTTCAACTAATGTATCTTAGCAAACTATCCATCACCCAACATTTAGGAGTATTGTGGTGACTTGTGTGGCAGCTATGCTGAATCTGGAAACCATGCCACTGGTATTTCAATAGCTACCAGAGTTACCCATGCTGGTGATAGGTTTCAGCAAAGCTTCCTAACTAAGAGCCTGGTGATCTACTTTCAAAAATTAGTTAATGAAAACCATATGGATCACAATGACAGGACGGATAAATCAATGAAAGAGAACATTATAATTTGGTAAAAGAGAGAGCCAGCAAGGGTGAGGAAGCCAACAGACTCAATCAAGTATGCTGCTGATCATGAGGCTACCACAAGGCCAGTCAAAACTCCATTCTATTGTCCAAAAGAGTGGTATGAATCACAACGGATTCAATGACAGTGCTTTATCCTATTGCCATATCAAAATGAGCTACCAGTTAATGAACAGAGTACAATTTTTTTGTGAGGGATGAATTCAGGATTAAACCTTCTAGAACTACTTTAAATGAACCTGTTGTTATGTGCCATCAAGTTGGTTCTGACCCATAGAGACCCTGTATAGGGTTTCTGAGGAAAAAGCTGGTCAGCTTGAACCACCAACCTTGCGGATCAAACCGACTTTGCAGCCTAGTGCATTAACCTACAGGGGCCACACCAGGACTCCCAAATGAACCTAGAGCTCAGAAAAAAAGTAAAGTTTAAAGTGTGGATTTGAGAGTTACACTTTTAAAAAGTGGCTGAGACACCAGAGATGGAGGCAGAGATGAGGACATGGAGAGACGAAGCAGCTGAGGACTCTGGAATCATAGAAGGAGAGGAACTATATGCTGGTGGCCAGGAGACAGGCTCGCAGAATGTGCCCTTTGGTTGTTTAAATTACTATATATTCCTGAGTGTTTCTGTGTACGCACACCCCCCCCCCAAAAAAAAACAAAACAAAACACACAAACAAAACAGGGAATGGAAGCAAATACTGTTGAATGATGACACATGGAGTAGATTATAATCACTGCAATGAAACGATGGTGTAAAGCCGATGTTCTCCCATGTAAACTGTTACTCCATTCAAAATAAAAAACTTAAGGAAAAAAAAATAAAACTGGC